CATCTTGCAAACCTCTATTGTGCGACCTGCTGTTGACTTCATTCTACTAGCTTGGCGGGGACCTCTTGTCTTCATCACACTCCTTAACTTTGCGGCAAGCCACACAACCTGGCAAGCTTCGAGGTAGATAAATCTTCTCCTGTTCTGCACCCCATCCACCGTAAACCTGATGAGACTTCCTTTAAACGTCTTCCAGGCAGATAATCTTGCTTCCGATATGTAGCTCCCGCCTAAGCCCTTCCTCGGTGTCGCCGTTGTGCTCGCTCTTCTTCCTTGCGGACCTGCAAGAAAACAAAGACTCTCCAGATCTCTCCCCACCCCGCTCACTCACGCCCTCACCCCTCACTGTTTCTCTCCACTCTCTCACTAATATGACGTGGCTTAAAAATTAATCTTGAAAATTATCACTTTAAATGTTATAAGTCTTTGTGTTATTAATGATTTACCTTATTAATATGATCATATGTTAATTTATATATGGTACTTAAAATCCTACGATTCGATTTTACGATTCCGATTTTACCCCAGTTTTAGATTTTAGGTAAAATCCCGATTTTAACTGCTTTGCACAGGACTGTGCACCGATGCTCACTCTCACTTAGTGCAAGCAACTCTCCACCAAAAATCTCAAATGAATTAGATGAATAAGTTTGATTATTTTTTATTTTATGAATTGGAATTTGGATTTCAATTATGAATTCTTGATGAATGTTGTATTGATATTATTTTTATAATTATTATTTTATGTTAACAATGTAAAAATGTAGTTAAATAATTTGAATTATTTGTATGATTATTTGTCTTTAATTTAGTACTCTTGGTCATTGTTATGTTTGTAGATTGAAAATGATGTTAAATGACACTTGTTAAACTTAATTGGATGATGATTTGTAGATTACAAGTGGTTATCGTTTCGATTTGTTATATTTCGTCAAAAAATCAAAGATATTTGGTTTGATTAGGTATAACCGTAATTGTTGGAATGTCTGTTAGTAGTTATTGGTTAAGAATCGAAGTAACCGCTTACCGAACCGATAAAAGATGATTAACTAATTAGGCTTATAGATTTAGTTATCGGTATGAGCTTTTTGCTTATTGGTTAATCGATGACCGCCATATCTATTAATGGTTAAAAAAAACAAAATAATTAGCAACCCTATAAATTGGCATCAGGAATGGGAAGGAGGAATTTGGAGTGGTGGCTATGCGAGGCAAAACGAGGGGGTAGAGTGGGGAGGTATTCTGTTTCCTTCCTCTGGCTATTGGCTAGCCGCATTAGCTTTGGGTAATGTCTATGTTAATAAAGATTTTAAATGTGGATCGAGAGGGTGAAATACACTCTGTGCCACTTAAGTTTGGCAATTGGTGAAGCCAATACCATCAAAGTTAATTTAGTGCATCGGATAACACTTAAGTCCGATTAAAGTGCGCCCGTTCATATTTCCATCCAATTTACCAACGGAAGGAATTGAATATTATTTTCTTTACACATCAGGTTTAACAGGTCAGATCTCCCACACTCTAGCCAAAAATAATAATCATCCTCCCCAAAATAAATCAGTAATCGAAACTAAAAAAAGCTCCCAAACCCTACTCTCATCGAGCTTTCGTCTCCTTTCAATCCCTCTGACCTCGGGTTCTGTTAGCCGCATCTTTTGCGGCTCATCTTTTGCTTCTTTTTCAACTGGCCCAATGAGCTAATTAGGTTTTGATTCAAGATTATTGTATATAACCATCAACCCAATTCATACATTTATTACAAGCAAACCTAAACCCAAATGTTGGATGTGTGGGAATTTTACAAGAATTTTCATGTCACTAACTATTTTTTCCTTAGAAAGATGACATCATCTTATTAATATTGAAAATTACAAACAAGAAAAAGTAGGGAAAGGTCCTGGAAGGCGCTAAAAAAATAGAAAAAATGAAGCCAACAGTAGGTATATCACACAAGGTTGATGTACGTTGTTCTCAAGCGAATGGATCAAGTGGGACTTGTGCCTAGGTAACCACTCCTCGATAGTCCCCTATCAACTTTGTTTGCAACAGTTAACGAAGTTGTGATGAGCTTTCCAATTATGTACGCATAACCTGAGGAGTACCGAACTTATAATTAAAAATTTAGTTTTATAGGTATATTTTGCTCCTTTACTATACATTTTTATCAAACATGTCCCTCAACAATTTTTCTCATCAATCCTACCCTTATACTATTGTAATGTTATCAAACATACCCTCAGTTAAATTTTCCATCCAAAATATGTGAATCACGGTCGAACCGCCAATGTGAATGGGAATGAAATACCAATTTTGACCTTCTTATTATCTTATATTTTTAACCTTCTTTCTTCTTCCTCTCCCCACTCAGTTCGTGGGCGTGGCTATGGAAGAAACAACCTGTCCCTTCAACGTTTCAACTTCTGAACAACCCTCGACGGATTATGATGCCGGCAAGGGGTCGACGGTGGCTCATGCTCGCCACTGCTCCCATCACTTCATCATCCGCCGCCCCCTCTTCTCTAAATTGGGCATTATCCTTGAAATCCTGTTCCTCCACGACTTCATTAAAAAGAAATCGATGTAGGCCACCAAATCAAACGAAGACCCCCATCGCAAACTGCCAAACAAAACCGCTCCTCCTCAAATCTCAAATTCTCTAAAAAAAGCAATAGGCCTTCAAGTTATTTTATACATGCACTGGATTTTTATTTGGATTGTAGTTTTCTTTGGTAGAAAGACGGTCCGTTAAGAGATCAGAGAAGAGTTGGATGACGACTGGAGAAGAAGAAGTCGCCATTGGCGGTGGCGGTTACAATTCAGGGCAGTGGCGGTTATGCTAGATAAGAGCCCTCTCCTTTTTATTATTACTATTATTTATTTATTTATTTATTTTCTTTTATAATTAATCTCCATAATTTCTTTGTTTTTATTATTCTTTTCAACATTTTTTTTTCTTTTTTTTCTATGTTTTTTTTAATTGTATAATAGGAAAAAAAATTAATCTCATCTTTGTGAGTGGGTTGCATAGTCCGTTTCTTGCATTCTGACTTATAATGGTCTACGGCATCGTGCTCCATCGGTGATGACTCTCTCCGTTGTGGAGCCTATTAATGTTACTCCATGGTGGAGTCTTCCTTTCTCATATTGTATTGATTGGCTGATGATGCTGTCCAAACCAATGTTGTTAAAACCGAACCAGACATTGATCCGGTGTAGCAAGAGGTTCAAGGTTTATCGGCTAACTAGAGGTTAACCGTTATACAAATCGTTCATAAAATCGGTGATATACAATTTAGGGGGGAAAAGTTATGGCTTTATAGTAATTCAACAAATTAGTACTACTTTTTAATTAAATAATTCTATATCTCATCTACGTAGGGAGCATGGCAAAAATTTATCACGAGAGTATAATTTATTGTGTTTGGCCTATTTATTTCCACTTTCCAAATTAAGAGAAGAAGAGGAGAGAAAGAGAATCCAAAAATGGAAAAAGAAAAGGGTAGGTGGGTGCTGCTACGTTAGGGGAGGGAAACAAGGAGGGTAAGTATTAGTGTGTTAATATTATTATTTTCCTTTTCTAATTTTGTTTCCTTTTTTAAATTGAAACTTCAAAAAACGAATGGATTCAAACCGCCTAGGCGGTTACCTCGGGTTTGCCGGTTAACCTATTGAACCGGTCATAACCCGAGCGGTCATATTTATTCTTGTTTAAAGGCTTCCGGGACCGGATTACTGGCCGGATCCGGTTTTCACTGGTCTGACTGGCCGGTTCGGCCCTGTTTTAATAACAATGGTCCAAACGGTAACACCAATATCCTTTTGGATTGCCTATTTGTTTTCTTGTTTTGCAGGTTACTTCTGACTGCGGATGGAGCTTTATGGCTTTCTAAAGAAAGGTTGTTGCTTCGGTAGGCATTCCGAGTACACTGCTCATTCGGGTTTTTGGACTGAGTCGTTTGGAGGGCCGATGAATGTCATGCTTGCCAACTCTAGTGGTCGATTGGATAATCTTGACGAGGAAGCGTTTTGCTTGAGGTTATAGGAGCAAGGATTATGACATAGTTGTTTTCAATGTTTATATATATTCTGTCGTTTGGCTATGTGTTTGTTCATTTTGCAGGTACAACTGCCCATAGGGCTGTCTATTTTGTGGCATAACAGGCCCTTTCATTGGAAGTTCAACTATTTGTCGACTGTCGCACGATGTTAGTTTCTGTTCTTTGACTCTGTATTGATCAGAGATTTATCTGATTACTGTCTATGTTAAAAAAAATACATGCACTGGTTATAAAACAGAGGCCACCAAACTTTCCAACCAAAATGATAAATCCTCCACCTCAATCTAATGAAATCCCTAATCATAAAATAAAGAATAACCATCTTAATCTTTCATCTCAACATCTGGGTTTTGTCTCCGTCGAATCTAGCGAGGAATCGAAGCTCCTAGCCGTTGCTTCGTTCATTGTCAGAGAGATTAACGGCGCGGGGTCGCCGTCACTAACGGGTTTCTTGCCGGCGAGATATCTGGTCATAGCACAACCGTCTTCTGCAATACCTCGTTGTCGGCCAGAGTTCCAAATGAGTACAAACTGGTGGTGCTTTAATCGCACAGATCGATATCAAATTGACCATGGGGAATCGAAGAGAATCAGATCCAGATCAACGGGTAGCGTTCAAAGTGATTGATTGGGCAGAGCTCTCACTAGATCCCAGCACATTGTGACCTACTACTTGCAATTGGCAATAGGAAAGGGGGATGATGGTCCTGTATTTTGATTGGAAAGGAAGCGGCTATTGATGGAAGGTGGGAAGAATAAGCACCGAAAATGGCATATGCATCAATGGTGAAGGGAAAAGTCCTGAAATCGACCATTGTTTTGATAGCTTAAATTATTTTTATTTTATTTTACTAGTGTCTCGTTTTTTATTTGTTTAAAAGGGTAAATTGGTCAACTGGCTTAAGTCAACACAAATTTAACGGAAGACTAACAAAAACTGAGATGAAGTTTCTATCGATCTATTATGCGCCTCTGCATCTAGCATTGGGTAGACCTCATACAATAACTGTCCTAGCCCTACCATATCTTTTATTGAATTTCGTATGGAACAATCACAAACACTTTTTTGATTATGGATCCAGTACCGGAAATTCAATGCGTAAGCTTAGTATTCAATGTGTATTCCTGAACAAGAAACTGAGATGAAGGGCATGTTTGATAATGTCATTATAGTAGAAGGTTTTTTTTTTCAAGTAAAAACAAGAGAAAAAATAGTTAGAAATCTCTACCAAAAACCCCACCCAAAGCAACACTTAGTGAAGCCACCCTACAAAATCAAAGGACCCTACCTCTAAAGAGGACACCAACAGAGCTTTAGGTGCCACTCTAAGGGCAGCTCAGTTGGCAGTTCGCAGAACCACACTAAAAACTATACAAAGAGAGCATGAAACTATGAGCCGATGACACTCTTGGAGCAGTGAGCCGCCTATCGAATCTTCCACTGTTCTACGGTCCAGATGCCGAATCACCACTTCAGGATAACCTAGAAGCAAGGTGCTTTGCTAGATAGGGATCGAAACTCCTTGGTGCGCCTGAGATCCCAGGCCAGTAGAACTTGCCCGTCTGTCCCATGTACGACGAGGTCAGACGAGCAACCGGAACGACAAACAGCAGCATCAAAGTTGATCTTCACAAAGTCTGGAGGCGGGCGATGCAAAACGGAAGGATGAGAGGGCACAAGACTGAGAGAGAGGTCCTGGGGGCTGAAAGGCTAAGGAAAATTCAATGACTTGGAAATGGAATTGACGGGCAAGAGAACGGGCGTGTGGTTGAGTATATTCAAAAATCACTTTGTTAAGAGATTTCCAGATTCTCCAAAAAAGGCAAACGCATGGGAGAATTTGGGTTTGGAAGTTTACTGAAAACATAACATTGTCGCCACCATATACTAAAGTTCAAAGTTTGGGCGGAAGCAAGCAAATCACTTAATCCCACTAAAAGTCCATAGCATGATGACAAGAGGGCAATGAAAGAACAAATGTTTAATAATCTCTTGATATTCCCAACAATCTAGATATTTGAGAAAACAATTTTCTTCATGAAATTGAGGAGCCACCATAGTTTGCAATGTCGTTTAACATAATACATATACAATTTAAAATAATACAAACCATTCTTAGTGGAAATTCTTAGTGGAAAACAATATCCGCTAATCACCCACTCTTCAACTTTGTCGTGACTTATTAACCCTAATTAATTTTCTAACCAAAAAAAAAAATTGTCATACCATTTGGCAAGAAACCAAAAATTGAATTTTAGAATTCACATTCTAGTGCCGATGGGCCTCAAATTAAAATGAATTGAAGAAAATGTCATCAATTATAATAAATTGAGCTAATGGCTCATAAAGTTAATTGTTGGCTAAACACAAAAGGAATCGAAATTAATTATTAATTAATGAAGTTTTTAACCACAGCCCGAAATAATGGGCGTCTTTCAATCCGACGAGTAAATGCTCATAAAATTCCAACGGATGAAGCTTTTCCGATGAGGATGAAGTTTGCTCCACTGATACTTTGAAAGCCAGAAATTAATTATGGAAGTCATAAATTAATTATTTCTATCCCATAATTTGAGATATAAACCAACCATAAAGATTGTAAAGCGCCATAAAAGGATCGCTTTAGTGACTCATTAATCACTTAACGAATCATTAAAAACCCAATAACATAAAATAACATAACTGATGTATTAAAATCATATAGGACGAAACGGACCAATGGGGCCATTAATTGGTTCTTTACTTCTAGGAAAATTGATTGCAGGGACCGCCGGACCAACAAAGTCGCCGGAGGCAAGTGTTTCCATCTTTATCGCCACCGCCGCCTCCGGAACCAATCTTCTCCGCCGCGGAGGCCTTCCTCTTCTTCGCGGCAGCAACGTAGCTATTCCCATGGAAATCAACAAAAAGGGCCAGAAGCGAAGCATTGAAAACGACATTGAAGCACCACCCCCACATACCAGAGCACCCGCTGCCGGCTAAATGGTATTACAGCATCATCCCGGAGATACAGAAGCTGAATACGAACTGCACGATCTTGAAATCCGTCACCAGCCTCTTCCACTGGGGGCGAAACCCCAAGGCGGTACAGAAGTAGTACCAGTACATGACCAAGTGCACCGTCGCGTTGGTCACGAGCGCCACCGGGAACAGGGGCTAGGCTTCACATTTCTCTGGAGAAAGAAAACCCACCCGATACCGGCTGGTTTCTTGACTCCGAGAGAACGACGAGAGCCGTCTGGGGACGCGGGGAGGCAGCAAATTCGCACTATGGACTCCAAATCAGAAGCAGAACTGGCCGAGCTGGAGCGGCTCCAGAATCGGATCCTCCAGCGAAAATCAAAACTCAGGGCAAAAGTTAATAATCATCACTGAATCAACGTAAATGTATATAAAGGGGCATGTTTGATAAACAAGTATAGTAGAGGGAAAAATATCTGAATCACTAAATGTCGCTCTTAAAATTGCTAACGGTCGCCTTAACTCTAATGATAAATGACCTATATACCCCCAATAAAATTTCATAATTTAAACAAACCAAACAATCCATAACTCCTCAAACTGAACCCCTCATCTGCCTTCTTTGTGAATCCCTCTCGACGCACCAATCCGTCGGCGCCTTTCCCGCCGTCGATGTTATTTTGTTCCTTCCACACACACCAGCACAATGCGTGTAATAAGGATTTGGTTGCACCAATCACTCGGCACTATTGGATGAATGCCTCGGCCACCCCTTGATCATTATAATGATGTCACTTGAGATCGTCCCTACAAGCACGAAAACTCGAACTATACTCTTGGCGATGTAGAGATGTCATTAATGATTTACAAATGATAATAGATAGGTACACCGTATTGTTGGTAAATCAGAAATACGGTGGAAACTGTTGTGTATTATTACTGAAACCGCATAGAGTTTATATAGAGTACAAAGACTGACTTCTATAATAACCCTAATACTAATACGACTCTGATAATGAATATAACCCTGGCCAATTACATAACAGTACTCGTAGTATAACATAATACTACTCGTACTACACATACTCTAATACGTACACCCATTTATCACAAATAAATGAGTTTAATTAGTTCGTACTTACATTTTACTAGGGTATACATGGTCGGATTTTTTTTTTAATCAAAATGATTTAAAAGAAAAAAATGGAAAGAAGGATTTAACTGATTTGATGTATGTTTTACCCACATCTAACATCGTTGTTTTCCGACAAACCAACCATAGTCCACCTTGATTCAAGTACTTGTGAATCTCTAAGTCGATAAAAATTATGTATTTTTCAGTAATCCATTTTCACAAATGCATGATGAATTGCAAGAGAACGAACCAAATTTTCTTTATTTGTAATTAATCCATGGGGAATTGCATGAGAATGTGGGAAAATAGTCTCTAGCTAAAAGACAAAAAAAATAAAATAGTAAAAAGTCTAGTTAGTTTTTATATATAAGATAATAATAATAATTAGCTTCAAATTGAGTAAATAATTCTCCTGTAAGAAATACTGTAATCTCTAAAATTGTAAAAAGTAATCTCTAACAATTGCAAGGGAATGAATCAACGTTTCTTTATTTATTTTTATAGTCAATCCATGAGAAATTGGAAGAGAACGTGGGACTTTTTATTCTTTGCTAAAAGATAAAAAATTGAAATAGTAAAAAGTAAAAAATATAGTTAGTTTTGATATGAAAAAAATTTTATTACGTTCATATACAAAAACAATTCATTATGCATATTTCGACTATAGAGAGTTTCTCAAGCTACAAGACCAGCTAACATAATTTCTGCTTCATTTTGAAATAATGTGATCAGGTCCGGCCCAAGGCATGTGCTGGCAGGGCCCCCAGAACATGGCCTCAGAAAAAATGGGGCCTCAAGTTTAGATCTATTACCATAATAGTCTTTATTTTTATGGGCTTCTCAACTTTTATGGGCCAAAACAAATGTGTTAATAGAAGAAATAAAAATAACTTTGATTGAACTAAAGCATTAATGGGCATAATATTCCTTTAACTAGTCTTGGGCTTGTGTATTTTGTTGGGCTATGGAATGGACTGCTAGGGTTTGATTCGTCAAATAATTCATCCCTCTTCATTATGTATTATTTTTATAGATCTGTTAATGTTTATTTATTAAATTTAATTAAAATTTTGGAGCCACATTTTATTTGAGAACAGGGTCTCTTGAACTTATGGGCTGGCCCTGAATGTGATCCATCGATCGTACTCCTGCCTGCAATAACTAAGTGCTAGGGGCATACATTGTCAGATCCATATCCAATCTAGAAATACATAAATCTAGAGATAGAAACCAAAACAAGATTAAAAAAATGTTCAATCCAATTAAGTGTACTTTTCCCCTTTGTTTCATAAGAGAAAACAAGGAATCGAAACTTAGCTACCTTATATTCTGGGGACGTAAAATATGTGCCTCTTGTATGTTGTCATAGCTATAAATCTTGATCTACGATGATCAACTCTATAATTTCTTACAAAATCCTGTTAATTAAGCCAACATCATTTTGATAAACACCAACAACACTCAAGGTATGAGCTTCATACTTCCCATTATCACACCTACATGAAGTCGGTAATGTCAGATACAAAATCTAGTCCCCTTGCTGGCGCAATCAACCAAGTGGTAGATGGAGAGTTGGGGAATGTTGTCTAGGTTTTGTTGCGACTCCAAGCCAATCTCATTTTGGCCTTTATCGTGACAACAATGATATAGAACGAACAATAGTTTGTTTGTGTAGAAATCTACGTATTAATTTCTTATTCAATGAATAATTTTCTTTTTTAGTTTCATTATAGGAGCTTAGTTTCAATTTGGGAAAATATTGTAGTCCAAAATTAAGAAGTTGGTCTGCTCTACTAGCCCTTTGTTGAACTTGTCTAACTGTTCGTTATGAGTCTAGATCAAATGGAACACCTTTTGACATCAACAAACTTAAATTACAAAAATTACTCTCCATTTTGAAAAAACATTTGTAATCCAAAATCAATAGGTAGCTCTCCTCTACTTGCCATTATTTGAACATGTTTAGACTGTCCATTAGAAGGCCATACATGGTTCCAAATGGAACACCTTTAAACAATTGCAAGGTTTGGCTTATCTCATTAATTTGCCCAAACTCATACACTAGCTCTAATACAACTACATCTAACTTACATGGATCAAAGCTAACAAATCAACCTATGAAGACGAATAACCTAAAGTCCTAAACTTGAGTAATCTTTAAATACTCTTCTCTTAACAAGTCTCACTTGCTAGCCAAGTAAGTGATTAGTGAAAAACTAAGAAAAGACATGGCTTTCTTCTAGAATGGGGTATTTAACATGGGATATTTTTACCTCCTTTGATATTGAATCCTTTGGTCTAAATTCAACATCAATTAAATATCTTTTTATATTTAAAATATTTAATAATTCTTAAAAATATAATTCACGAGATATAAATTAAATCAAATTATATTCAATGTGCTGATGCTACAATTCAGCAAAATGTGGACCAAATCTTTGTTTATTCCTAACCATAACTATGTAATACAATTGAAAAAATAAAATAAAATATTCAACCTGCATTATCTTTTATGATACAAAGTTGATATCTCAATTGGAAATATAGATGTGTACAACTAGCTAATACATTTTTTATAATATTTCTGTTTTGCGGGAAAAAATTGAGAACGTAACTTACCGATACCATACATTAAGATTATCATTTCAAAGAAGAAAGAAAGAATACTTTCATGGAGTATGATCTTATTGAACCGGGATAAAAATAAAGAAACTAGAATATATTTCTTTAATTTTATATTGATTATCTTTAATCAATGGATTAAAAATGATTGTGTACATCGTTCATTACACACACAAATTTGTTTCCCAGGAGGAAGCATGAATGACATAAATTTGTTCCATAGAAGATGGTATTTGTTTTATATGTTTTGCTGACTACCATACATTAAGATTATCATTTCAAAGAAGAAAGAAAGAATACTTTCATGGAGTATGATCTTATTGAACCGGGATAAAAATAAAGAAACTAGAATATATTTCTTTAATTTTATATTGATTATCTTTAATCAATGGATTAAAAATGATTGTGTACATCGTTCGTTACGCACACAAATTTGCAATGTTGTCAGAACCGAACCGGAGCTCGACCCGATAATGTGCGCGGCTCGCATTTTAATGGTCCAACCGAAATTAGACCGTTAAAAACCGTTAAAAAACCGGTACATTATAAACAATAATATCATAAGTAGAAGACACATAAGGTAGTAATTTAAGTACTTAATGATTAAAATAAAATTTATTTACAGGTACCAATTAGTAATTTACATTATATATATTTTAAAAAACCCAACCCACCCTTTCAACCCTAGCCGCTGTCTTCCTCTTCCCTTTTCTCTATTTGTGAATTTGCTTTCTACCCTAGCCGCCATGTCTTCCTCTTCCTTCTCTCTGTACGAGTTTAATTTCCTCTCTACTTACCTCACCATTTAAGGAGAACAAGCCCTTCCATACCGCAGATCCCCGGAGTTCGACCACCTGAACGTACTTCCTTTTCTTCGACAGAGAAATCACCGGCTGTGGGAGATTTATGGAGTCGCCGACAGGAGTCTATCTTTCGAAGCTGCGGAACTTCCTCCGTCGTCGCCTCCTGACGGTTCAACCCAGCGATTCAATTTTCTCAATTTTTTTATAGCAGAGGACCAGAAAACCGGCTGACCGGATCGAGCGGGTCGAGAGACTAACCGCCTCGGCCGCTCACCGACCGGTCTAAAAACCCGCATCGGCTATTAGACTGATCCGAGCCGGTTTGGTGCCCGGGTGCCGGTTTTAGCGGTCGGACCGGTCGGCTCGGCTCGGTCTTAATAACACTGCAAATTTGTTTCCCAGGAGGAAGCATGAATAACATAAATTTGTTCCATAGAAAATGGTATTTGTTTTATATGTTTTGCTGACTACAAATGCTAATGGGTTGAGATTGGTAAATATGAGGGTGAAAGATGAACGAATTCCTCAAATAGGAGACAAATTCAGCAG